GATAGTTCTGGATGTGATCCAATCAAATCCAGCACTCACTCCATTATCACCCAATCAGATTTTGCCATACGGATCCCAGTCATCATTCGTCGAGTCAGTTGGCTCGTCCAGCTCTCATTACGCGACGCTACTTCAACAAATGGTGACACGCAAGCTCCGTTTAAATGCAGCATTTTACCATAGACTGGTTCGTGAGGGCAGGATCGCGATATGAATCCAGTCAGCCTACATAGATCACCTAATGTGTTCATAGTGTCGGTAAAATGCTAAGAGTGTCATCCAATTTCTTGCTTTCTATGACCGGCAATGTAAAAGAGTCATAATTAAGTTATAGGTGCTGTACTTGGATATGCAGATAATCTCGAATATTCGGATAAATCAGTAACAATATATTAGTAAGCAATGGCCAGCAATGTTGCATCTGTGTGGTTGGAGGTGATGAGCCAAAGCTAAAAGCACCATGTGTCGAACGATTTGATGACTCTAGCGTATTTGAAGAGGGAAACGCCCGATCGATGTCGATGTTGTATTCATCAAAACGTGATGAGCACTGATAAGAGGCTTAGTACAACGTACTATGGCGAAAACCAGGTGTTTGGTTTTCCAGAATATACTCTCCAGTGACTAACATTATATTTTATCGGGTCGTGCTCTCTTAAATGATACGTGAAGGTGCAACTAGACGCCGATACATCTTTCACCAACAGCAATCTCATTTAGTGGTGTACGTGGAGTATGGGAGTATCGTACCGTGATGATGTCGCCAAGCCATCCAGGTGCAGATCTAATAGTTTCAAATGGACTGGAAAAGCTGCTAGTGTTTGCTGGATTACAACACAATCCAACTGATGATGATGAAGATCGTCATGAAAAGCTTGATGGAGATCGGTTAATACGCTACAAACAAAAGTAGCTCTATGTTGTAAATGTGCTCTTATATCAATGATATGATCATCGCAGCTGACGCAAGACGACTTGAGAAATCAAGACAGAGCTCAAGATTTTGCTCGCGATGGAAAAGTTGGACAAGCACGAATTTAATCTCGCGATGGAGAATGTTTAAACCCGATGACCAAGACGTTGATGACCAAATAGATGCGTTAAATTTACGATGCCCAGTCAAGCAAACCTGCCGGATGCAGAGGTAGTGTTGGATTCAATTGAATTAGATCGAAGACGACGATGCTACAGTTGCTATCGATGGAATTCAGCAGGAACGATATGAGGTCGAAGCCGCACGGTTCTTTGATCCGCTTTGTGCTTACATAACCATCTATACGCGACTTGATGCACGCAGTAACGCAGCTATTGCGTGCTGGTGACAGATATCAGATAGCACAGCAACATGTCGACAGTTGCTCAATGACGGGTACCTGCTAGGGTCCATTTTGGTAATGAAAGGCTAAAATTCCCAGCGGTTGCGACGCTAATTTCGAGAGAGTCGGAATGAAGTTTACTTCGCCTATGCACCCAGAAATTGTTGTGGTCCATGGGATGCTCAAGGAGGTTTGTTAAAAAGTAAGACCTGCGGACGATTAGATAACCGGAGTGTAGCAGATTGGTAAGAAACTCAGGGCGCAGTATTAGTGACAACACGTTGACAATTTGTTTGACTGAATCTGATTTGGGAGATCATGACTTGAATGGTCATCGACGTGACGCCCGTATCAACGTTGGGTCAGCAAGCGGACATGCTAATCGAAGCACAAGACACCAAACGATACATTATTTTATGCAAGCGGTATGAGTTCTGAGCTATCAGTGCTACTGTCTGCATACATCTTACTGTAAAGGCTACACTTAGACATTACATGAAGGTACCTTCTGTATGCATGGTGTAATGTAATAAAGAAGACAACAGTATCGTGTTTCCAAATGCATACGTGATATGTTATTTAAAGTCACATACATTTTGTGTAAGACAGAATGCCTGTACTGTTGACGAGACCGACGTGTCTTTGTCTATGGAAGTGGGTGGCGTAAGCCAGTTACTTCTACTGGATAGTTTCCACGAATGTTGAAGTTCAAGCTTTCGAAGTTCAAGTTCCGTACACTCAAGATCGTTTAATATTTGAAAATCAGGTCCAACCTCAGTACACCCTCTGACTTATAAATCAGGAGCCCAAGGTATTATTTGTTCAAACCTCTAGGAGCCCTTGGGGTGGTTTGCATGTAGCTAGGAACAATAACTCATTTTTAATTGAGTTGCAAATTTACCTTTAAGGCATTAAGTCGTTCTTCTTCCCTACAAGTCGGGACTGTCCTTCTCCCACCACGTCGGTAATCGCTTCCTCGTCGCACTAGCGTGTGTGTTGAGGGACTGTTTGTAAACAGCGCCCTCTAACATAAAGACATAATACGGAGTGTTCGATTACCTTTCCTCATGTCGCCTAGAAGCTTATGACTGTGTTAGTTCTATGGGTTTCGGAAACTTGCGACCCCAGGGATGAAAGTAGTAATAACTCACCTGGTGGCATCCACCAATAATGTGAATGCGCCGATGACACATATTCAGGATCACATCAGCTGAGCCTTAATAAGTGAGCAAATAACACTCCCCACAAGGCTGATGATGTTAGGCATCTTATCCTTTGAAGCGAGAACCCTTTCTCTGGATATAGCAATTGAAAGCTGTCATAAATATGGTCGAGGTTTAGACGGGGCAACAGCGCTACAGTTGCGATCCAGAAGCGAGGTAACTGCGCGCCAGAATAACAATCATAATGAAGTTCCTTTGTCGAACCTGTTTAGAAGATGTGATTTCAGAACGTAAAGATTTGATGCGACATATGTAGTGGGAGTAGCATCACCCAATCAGACAAAAAAATTGAATTTACAGTTTTTTTGATATTACTGGCCTACATTTGCGTGAAATTTTCAGGTATACCAGCTCTTATCGCCGCAATGGCGTCAAACACTTATCTCAAAGCGAAGATGGTCACAATCTTCATGCAGAATATCCAGACAAGTGCGACTGACATCGTGACATTTCACATTCATCCTACCCCTTTCATGCTGTTGATGAGAGCCGCATTGCATTTCAAGTTCAACCTTCGTGACGCGAGGGTCAGATGGGGTGACAAGATTGGAAGCGCCTGAGGTGAAGAACTTCAGTTAAACAGAGAAGAAACAAGTAGGTCTCTTTGCTGCTGAGCAGTACCGCGTCACCTGTGACCTAGCTCTCATACTTGCGCCTTGCGGTGTCCTGTTTCATTAGAGGTGACGAGAACACCAGTTTTTCTATAAGAAATAGCTCATCGTTGTGCGCGGCGACAGGAGATTCACAGCGCGTCTTATCACCGGATAGGGGCGTGAATCTTGAAATTAACCAGATTTATTTTTATCGCGTCAAACAGCAGTGGCCACTTCCGAGGTAACAATGTGATTAAGACTTTCATTCGTGCATAGCTTCGAGTAGGTTTGTTGAGACAATGTAAATCGTGAAACTTGGTAGCGATCTTCTATGTTGAAAAGGCGACGGCAAGCAACGAATTGTGATGCTTAAATTAATATCGATTGAGCCGCAATTTTGGTGCAAACTCAATTTCAAAAAGGGATGTATTGCCAAACAGAATGGTAAGCTGTGGTAGCTCTTAGCTTAGGTGAGAAATAACATATACTGTTTATGAAAGACAGTGATGTCCAATCCTTTCAAGCGCGGGGAGCCACCTGAGCGAAATGCTCTGGATGTGATAGTTTATATCACATTGACCGATCAGCAACGATCAATCGCCTGGTGGACCAGCTCTATAGGCTTTATCGTGCACATGTACAAGCCAATTTCGACGATAAATATGTCAACAACCGTGCGAGGAGATTGACATAGAAACACTTGTTTGAGTGTGCGCGCTTTATTTGGCTTACCGCCGAAATAGAAAACGTATCTATGTCAGCCGATAAAACCTTCTTCTTAAAAGCTTGATTGAAATTTGTAATCTGTCATAAGTTTTGTAAGGATTGAGGCCACTCCAAGTTCAAAGGGACAAAATATTTTATATAAAATACATTATTTTTTTAAATAAAATATATTATACAAGAAAAAAAAATTAAATAAATATTTATTTTTAGGATTCAATTAATGTTGTATGCATTAAAAAATTCGGCTAGCTGACTACTGACACAAGCAATGTACAAATTCGCCGGTGCGGCACCGCATCCAACCAATTATCCAAAAGGGGCACCAAATGGTGCTGGAACGCGGCAAAAGTGATGCCTTACGAACGATTGTATTATGTGTACCCTGATTGTTATTCGAATCACCAATTATGTACGCTATGATCCTCCACTATTAACCAAAACTTCTGTTTTACTCTTAGCAAGAGCCAATGGAGATAACGCGTAATCGCAGTTTACTCTAGCAATCCTAACGCAGCAGAGAAGAGAAAGCCAGTATGTGACAAAAGGCTGCTTGAAATACAGCACTGTCGTGTTCAGCACAGCATGACTTGCTCTGCTGTAAAGTCACATGGATACTATAAAGATGATGCCTTGTTTCGCACATCTTATTGTCACCACATCTCTCACAAAGAATGTCAAGGTAGATATTCGGGATTCTCAAATATCTCGGGCTTATCATCTTGCAGCAAACCAACACACGCTGTGTCTGGCCTGTACGCCGAATATGTCGCCGTACCAATTGGCTAATAGCAACAATCGGGGTGGCATTTCGCGATGAATTCGGCTTATTCCTCATCTTAGACTTATACTCGTCAACAAAGGCACCTCACAAGTAATAATCAAGAGATTTCCGATAATGTTATATATTGCTTTGAGAGCGCTTTTATTGGTGGCCTTTCGACACGAGCGTGTAACGTGTTTCATTGCTTTAAACCGTTGACGCATGCATCAGCGCATTGAAATGCCGACTCATTAGTATGGGCCTAACTTTTGCTTTGAGAGCGCTTTTATTGGTGGCCTTTCGACACGAACGTGTAACGTGTTTCTTTGCTTTAAACCGTTGACGCATGCATCAGCGCATTGAAATGTCGACTCGTTAGTATGGGCCTAACTTTTGATTTTTCGAATTCGGCACCCGGGTATAACGACATTGTTGTTTTATGCACAAATATCACATCTGGCGACTTTGAATGTATCCGCTACCGGAAAGGATGCTGCCAAGCTTTTTTACGACACAGTGTGTCACGAAAAAGATTTGTCAGTTGCCATTGTTTATAATCGAGACCAGCTTGGCAGCGAACATTTGCCAAGCTTTTTTTGTGGCGATAAACCCATATAAAACACGTAAACCATTTACGAGCAGTAGATATATGGCCAGATGAAATGCATTCATTCCGAATCACTTGCTCGGACGTTTCGGTACTGACACAAATTGCTTTAGTTTGCGTTGGATAACGCAAAACATGCTTAAGGTCTCAGCGTATTTTTAAGTATTCATATAAATCTCCGCACTTCTTTTAGACCGCCTTATATTGGCCTTCGTCTTGATGGTGTGGGATTTGTCCATACAAGTTATATACGCATATATAAGCTCAATGCGTTTAAGCCCCATGCATCGAGCGCCAGACGCTTTTAAAAGGAGCCGGAATGTGCAAAA